GAGCCGGGCTCGAACCGGCAACCTTCTGATTACAAGACGAACTGCCAACTCTTGAGCCATGATTAAAGTCAAAAGTGTGGACACACCTTCTCATTTAATGTTTTTCTTTATTTTTACTACTTTCTACATTGTAGATACATACAGAAGGCATCAAATATATGAAGCAAGATATATGGAATTACTTAGCAAAAAAAAAAAGAAATTGATAAATAATGCTAAATATATTTTATATTTAAGATTTATTAGCCACCCTTTGCTTTGTTGACAGCACTTCTCTCAATGAGGTTCATGATGTAGTCACCTGAAGATGGCCTAGCCTCTACAGTGACTTGACCTAAATCCAATGGAGATGGTTTAGGATAGGATGGACCCCAGAGTGAAGGCAAAATGACCAACAAGTGATCAGCATCTCTCCCCACAGTCTTGGTCGTTGTGTCCTTGGGCAAGACACTTCACCTGCACTTCGCCTTCTACTACTGGTGGTGGTCAGAGGCAGCCTCGCCTCTGTCATGCGCCCCAGGGCAGCTGTGGCTACAATGTAGCTTACCATCACCAGTGTGTGAATGTGTGTGTGGGTGACTGAATGTAGTGTTAAGCGCTTTGGGGTCCATAGGGACTAAGTAAGGCGCTATACAAATACAGGCCATTTACCATTTATTAGTGTAGGTGTTATGAAATCACGCTTTGTCTGGTCCCTCACACAAGACCTTGCTATGAGAAACCCTACCAGAGGGCAAAAGCCCACTGGTATGCAAATCCCTCCACCATGATAAGGTAGCAATTCACTGAGGAGTTCTTCAAATATACATAATACTAAACGCAAATTTGTGTGTTCTCCCCCACTTTAAAAAGGCATGCTTGTGTGAATAACTAGTGATTGTAGAATTTCTTTTGTTAGTGATGTGAGAGTGAATACTTGTGTATCGCTGTGTGATGAACTGATTACCTGCTCAGATGTACCTGCCTTTGTCTACAGCTAAGGCAGGATTCAGGACATAACTCCTAATTGAATAAGTGGTTAAGAAAAGAAAGACAGATGGTGCATGGAATATTATCCGTCTGGTTGAGATCTGTATCATGCTAATCGCATACAGAAATTTTATTTTTATTGTCAACTGACCTTGATTGATTCTAAATAGCCTACTGTTACTTATATTTAAAACAGCTATATAAAACACTTGACATGGTTAAAAAAAAAAACAACTGAAGAAAAATCAGTTTCTACTGTCTCAGAGAGGGCCTTAGATCAGTGACTATAGTTAACAGTGTGTACGAAGCATTAATCTTTACATTACTTGTTATTTGTGATCTTTACTAGACATAATAATTCTTGCGTGATAGAGCATTGTGATATCTGGCTTTTTTCAGATTTTTACAATAATTGTTATGTGTACTTTAAATGAGTCATGGGTTTAAAATGGTGGTTAAAGGTGTTGGATTACTTTTTTGTTACAAAACCTTTAACAGTGAAGAGAAGCAGACTAGGAAATGGTTTGAAAGTGAAAGCTGTTGTACATTAGTCTGACCCAGTCATCATCAATTTTTTTCAGGCAATATAATGCATTTGCATATGTGTGTAGAGATGTGTTTGTGTGCATTTATATGATCATAGTCAATGTTTTTTACTTTACAATCTACTCATAATTACAGGACATGGATGTAAATACCTTTTATGGAAGGAAACCAAGGGAATGTGCACTTTCTGTCCTCAGAAAGTGAGGACAGTGAGCTTTCAGGGAGTGACAGTCAAATTTTATGATTGATATATTATCAGGACCCTAAAGCTCCCCCAAAATAGGGAGAAATATTTTTTCCCCAAAAATTAAAAAGCCATGTAGTAGAGGGTTTTAAGGGCTTGTCCCAGGATGTTATCTGGTTCTGCTACCTTGCGGGGGTTGATCCTCCTCAGGGCTAAAACCCTGAAAATGTGAAAAAGAGTTGATGTAAGTTTAGATGAAACCTGGGGACTTATGTCTGCTAATTAATTTCAGCAGGTTGAATCATACATTGTTGTAAATATATTTACCTGTGACTCATAGCGCTATGGCTGAAAATGTTTTCCTTTATTCTGAAAGCAGTAAATGTACTTAATGCTTTCCTGCATTTAACATCACACATTAATAAGAAGATTACTACCCTCACAGACATAAACCTCAGTCAGAAACCCTCAGTCAGGAATGCCGAATCAGAATAATTAATTTTTTCAATTCTCAACATCAAGCAGTGTAAGCTGCTGTTATGTTTACGCTTGTTTCCGCCTACAATGCTGCTACAGTGGAGTCTTTGTTTGGAAGGTGGTACTGGCAGAGAAAAGAGTGATGTTTCAAGTGCTTCAGCCATTGTCTGATTCACTTTTCTTCAACTTCTGCCTCACCATCAACATTTCTTATTTTGGTGCAGACTCTGACTCGTAAAATGGGGATGGGTTTTCCTGGAAGTGTATTATACCGACGATTTGTCACCTAGCATAGAATGTTACGCTTTGGGAGTGAGAACGTGTTGCTGAAGTAGATGTCATGTTGCCTGGAAATCCTGCTGCAGTTCTGAACCAAGGTTTCTGAGTCATGATGGTTGTTTCTTTTGGTTCCTTTTTAGTCTGAAATCAGATATGATATCAGCACTTCTGAGTTCATCCATCATTATTGTCCAGTGATGAGATTACTGCTCCATTTGGTAATAGTCAGCAGATTTTTCCTGCGTGTCGACATGAAGAGTCGTACCTGACAGCAGCAGGCTTTATAATAACGCACATTATATTTTCTATAATCACAGACTGACCAATTGTCGACTCTCAGCGACTCACTGTAAAGTTGTGGCCTCAGCTCTGAAGTCCAACCCCTCCCATCTGACAGAGCTGGATATGAGTTACAACGACCTGCAGGATTCAGGAGCGAATCTTCTGTGTGCTGGACTGGAGAGTCCAAACTGTCGACTGGAGACTCTGAGGTGAGTTCACTGACTGCAGCTGTTGTTGTTTTTCTATATTTCAAATCTTTGATTAATGTTTGAAACTGTCTTTAGTTCCTAATTGTTCAGAATATCTCTAAAGACAAATGTGAAGAAGTTTGAGTGCTTTCAGAAATGTGGTGTCTTTATGAATGACTGAACAAGAGTCTTCCCTTTTGGCTCCAAATAAAAGTGACAGACTTGAGCAGGGTTCACTTGAAGGCTGACAGAAGTGTAGTGGGGACGGGGAGATTTGGGAGGACAGTTTTTCAGCCTTCACAGGTTCACATTGTGCTCCATGAGTCAGTGAAGATGAAGTCAGTACTGATAAGGCTGTAGAGTGTATGAGGGATGTGAATAAGGCTGGTAAACGCTGGCGCGACTTGCTGCCTC